TAGCCGGAGTCTGTGACTGAAGGGAAATCTCCTGATAAGAATTGCTGGGATTTCAAGAGCCACATTTAGAACTCTGGGGCTTTCCAGCCAGAGAACTTTCAACAACACACAGTGCTTTCTTGAGTTGAGATGTGTAGATGGGCCTGACCTGGTGAGCTGAAGCCTGTTCAGGAGAATTTATGATCTAATTAGCCTTAGTTTGTGGTTCCCCCATGGGGAAAAGAGGGGACTAGAGAGGAGTAGCTCTGGGTCAGTTTGGTCTTCTCCTCCCAGCCTTTCCGCCTGCATCATTCATATCTACTAGGATTGCGTCTGATTGCACGTAACAGAAACTAACAACTGTCTATCTCAATACTCAGAAACGGTGTCTGTCTCACTTTCACGGTGGGAACTACAGGCCAAAGAGAAGGGAGACAGACAGACTACAGGGGGAAATGGCTGTCAGTGCAGATGACTCGCTCCTGCTTTCACATGCTTATCACATCTCTGACAGCTCAATTTAGAATCTCCCCCTCCCCCCAGCCATGTCACTTGACTCCATTGTATCTTCCTTCAAGGCACTTACCACACCACCTGACATCAGATGCACTATTTCTTGTTTACTTAAATCTTCCCTAGTTTCCAGAACAGTGCCTACCTTATAATAGGTGCTCAGTAAATATCTGTTAAATAAACAAATGCATCATTTCATCAGCAATTTCTCAACAACTTAATGTGGCAAGCAGGGTAAAAGATGCCGCTAGTCACTTTACAGTTGTGGAAACTGAGGCCCAGAAGGCTGACTTCACTAAAGCCACGAGGGAACTCAGGTAGTCTCTCTTCGGATTCCTAATCCAGGTCCCGGGATGGGGGTGGGGTGCAGGGAGAGAGGCTTTTGACATGGCCCTGGCCTGTGTCCCAGACTGAAAGATCTTGTCTGAGCCACTGTTCAGAAACTTGATAAACCACTCAGGGATAAGGTGATAAGAGATGGAGATAAATTATTCGTAACAAAGAGCCAGCGGCCTGAGGGTTGGGAAAGGAAGGGTGACATTATCACTGAACAGGTGGCCTTTTTGGTGCCCTCAATTTCACCCCTCCCCCCCACCCCCATCCGGCTACTTACCCTGTCCCCAGAGGTGGTGAGCTCCCCGTCCCCGGAGGTGTTTAAGCAGGGGCTGGATGTCTACTCACCGGGTATGCCTGGGTTGGAGATTTGTAGTCACATCCTAGCAAGAGAAGGCCGACTCGCCCCCACACAGAACAGACACTGTCCGCAGACAGTGGGCCCCAACAGCCGCGCGAAAAGGAGGCTTTGCGCCACCTGGTGGACATACCTTTAAACTGCAGGCCTTTCAAGGGGAGAAGCCCGCAGCCCGAGTGTCCCCGGAATCCTGGGCAGTGAAGACAGAATAGATGCCCTAACAGTTTCACAAGGACCTGCATTAGTTTGTGAGAGCTCGGCGCGGCCTCTGCGCCCGGCCAGGCACCAGCAGGCTCCAGAGAGGCCACTGTCAAAGGGAGGATTTATTAACGGGACTCAGGGCTTGCTAAGGCCTGTCCCTGGGATTGGAGGGGATGCAGCCCTCCTAAATTTCATTCCAGATTCCTGGGACGACAAACTGAGAAGCCACCTGGCAGGAGGAGCCTCATTTCTTCCTTCTGCTTGTCTTTGCATTTGGGAGTGACCTTGAATTGTCTTTGCCCGGAAGTAAAAAAAAAAAAACAAAAACTGAACTTCCCAGTTCAGTTCCGCATGAGCCTCCCTGAAACACCCCTACACAAAAGCAACAACAATAAAAAAAAACCCAACTCTCTCCAAGTGTTTTGCGCCGTGGACATCATATCCTAAAAGAGTCTGTGTACCAAAGTGCATGTTTTCATTATGTTTATTACCCGATCGCATCGTTTATTGTCATCAAAGGCCTTTACAACTGCCCGTAGAAGGCGTCGCCCGTCAGCAGGGCCACACGGCGTTCATGCAACTGAGCAAAAGCGGAGACGTTTGGGAGCTCAGTGGGCCAGTGCACCCCGTCTGAGCTAAGTGCTGGGTTACGCTCAGCCCCCTAAAGCACTGAAATGGGCTCCGGCTCCCAGCCCAGCTTTCCTTCTGTTGTGGGTGGTGAAGCCCCGGGTCGGTTGCCCCCTCAGTTGTCCCCGACGGAAATGTGCCCCCTGCCCCGCCGAGCCCTGGCCCAGGCCAGGTGTTCCTCTCACCACTCCTCCTTTCGGTTTCACTTCAGTTCCGAGAAAAGGGCACGGTTTTTGTTTGTTTGTTTTTTAAGATCTTATTTATTTATTTGACAGAGAGAGACACAGCGAGAGAGGGAACACAAGCAGGGGGAGTGGGAGAGGGAGAAGCAGGCCTCCCGCCGAGCAGGGAGCCCGATGCGGGGCTCGATCCCAGGACCCTGGGACCATGACCTGAGCCGAAGGCAGACGCTTAATGACTGAGCCACCCAGATGCCCCTAAATCTTTTTTTTTTTTTTTAAGCTGCTCACATTCTTTTTTTTTTTTTTTTTTTTAAGATTTTTATTTATTTGGCAGAGAGGGACACAGCGAGAGAGGGAACACAAGCAGGGGGAGCGGGAGAGGGAGAAGCAGGCTTCCCGTCCCGCCGAGCAGGGAGCCCGATGCGGGGCTCGATCCCAGGACCCTGGGATCATGACCTGAGCTGAAGGCAGACACTTAACGACTGAGCCACCCAGGCGCCCCGGAAAGGGCGCGGTTTTAATGAGCAGTTTACCCCAGGCCTAGTCCTGGGCGTCAGCGGCCAGCCAGGCCCCTGGGAAGTGGAGCAGGAAACCCCGGCAGGGGGCGCGGTGTGGTCGTGTGCGGCGTGAACCCTCGAGGGCTCCCTGTGGACTGGCTCTAAATAATGTGCTTCCCTCCCAGCTTCAGCTGCCCCATGAAGTGGGGTATGTGCGGTTGGTGCTGTTGGGAGTTTCCTCCCGTATGTCATCATGGGTCAGACACAGGACGGCCCCCCCCTGTTCCCAAAAGCTCTCTCCTCACCCTCACGAGGGTGTCAGCCCCAGTCCTGCTCTGTTTTCCCGCCTTGGGAGCAAGGCTGACCCAAGCACGTAACTCAGGGACCCCTTCGCCCTCCCCCAGGGACGGGTCTCCGCAGTCAGCCCGCGACCTACCCTCAACTCACCGTGAGCCGGAAGCCCACAGCCCCGCCACCCCTCCAGGCCCCCCCAAAAAAGGGGAAAACAGAGCAGAAGCCTCTATGACCCTTCCTAGGGGCACTCTCTCTGGAACCTCCCAAGCAGAATTCCCCAGCGCCACCCTGTCCCCCACGGTCTCCAGCGGGCAGGCCTCTCATCGCACCCCTCCCTGAGGACTGCCCAAAGGCAGCGCCGCACCCTCCTTCGGATGCCACCCCCACCCCTCCCCACACCAGCAATTCACTTACAAGGATTTGGGAATTTTTCAAAAAGCAAGTTCATGATTAAAATCTTTTTTACATAGGCACATTCTGATTTCAGAACCACATCCTTTAAACTCCCCACCCACATCTTAGAGCCGGACCCGGCGGCAGCTTAGTTCAGAAGTCCCACCGAGTGGCCAAGCCAGCAGAGGAGGGACGGGCCATTCCCCAGACTCCTTCTGAGCCAGGAGTGCCTCTGCATGTACTGCCTGATGCTGGATAGTCTGGAGGTATCAAGCCCTTGCTCTGTAACTGTGTGTTTTCTGTGCATCTCTATAAAACTTCGGAGCAAACACTTGAGTAGAAAATGCGGGTTGACGTCATGGGGAGGGACCAGAGGAAGAAGCCAAGAACGGTGGTCACCACTAGGCTCCTCCACGAGAGAGACAATAGGTCACCAGCATCAGCCCAGGCTTCCCGTAAGAGCCGGAGAAGTGGCAGGGCCACCAGAATTGAAGGAAGTGTTAGATGTTGTCACCTCAGAGTTACACGGTGTTGTATGTCAATCAATCGCGGTAAAGCCAGGGAGAAGTGGAACTTTCCTGCGACGGAAAAAGACTGTTGGCAAGAATCCACAACCCCGGCAGGGACAGAGGATCATGGAGCCCGTGCTCCCGGGTGAATGCTGTAAGTGGCTCGATTGGATGGAGACCTGACTTGTGTCATTTATTTCATTAATGAACTTGTTAACACACTCAGTTTTTTAAATAAATTATTTATTTACTGTTGACTTCTGGCAAAAAATAAAATAAATAAATAAGAGACAGACATGGCTGGCTACTTTTGCAAATCATGAGAATATATACATCCTGCTTTTTTTAAATGATCTGTGAGGAAGCCCATTTTGACATGTTTTCAGTGACCCACCACTTTTCAGGAATCTGTGTCAAAAATGGTTGTAAACCCAGAGCTTCACCTTGTGCCACGTAGACAGCAAGTGGACCATTAATACTGGTAGAGGGAAGGGCTGGATGAATCCTTTTATTCCTGGCACCCAGGTGTACATCCCAGACCCAAGCCTAACGTGCCTGGGGAGATGAGAAAGGGTGGACTCCCCCCGGGGCTGAGTGGGGAGGCCGGGCATCCGGGCTCTGGGGTGGTAGACTCTGCCCAAGCCCAGGTCCCAGTGGCCCCAGCGCTGGGTGACATTCATCACCCCGGGTGAAGACATATTCCCTGGGATACACAGTTATTGACAACCAGTAACGAATGCCAGGCCAATGCCAATGTCGTACCTGGAAGAAGTGACTTATGAGGCAGCATGAAGAGTCCACCAGGCTGAGCTGGGCTGTTTGTCTTGAGCCAGTCTCTGGCCTCAGTGGCCTTATCAATAAGAGAAGAGACTGGATGAGTGGATTTTGACAGTCTTTCCCAGTCCAGTTGTGGAGTTCTGGGTTAGAGATGCTGAGAAAAGCTAGGGAGCACGGGTTCATCCTGGACCAAAGTCAAAGGAGATGGAACAGTTTCGAGGAAGAGGAAAGGGACCAAGGATTTTCGTACTGAGCCTTTATGCCAAGGTCACCTGCCCGGCCGCTCTGGCATGGAAGTGTCCAGGGCCCGGGGCGGGACTCAGTCAGGACAGAAGCACTGCTTAGGAGTGGTCACAGCTCTGAGTGCCCAAGTCCAGGAATCCTTATCAGCTTCTGCACAGTGACTCAGAGCCAGCTCAGGCTCCGCCAGACGGGGGAATTTCCTGATCTTCCCGGGGGCGAGCGGCAGAGGTTTCTTCCTGCCCAGAAAGAAGATGTGAATCCAAGAAGTTCTGTTTTCAATGAAGTGAAAACACCCCCTTCCCTTTCTCCCCCAAACCTTACTGGAAGGGTCACAGGGCAGAGGTTCTGACCCCTTCGCGAGGCCCCAGCCACTCCTGGGGCATCAGGGAGAAGAGAAACTGAACCAATAGCCCAGGGGCACTTTCACGCTTTTGGGCAGTTGGGTTTGCAGAGTGTTCTTCTGAACACGGACTAAGTGCTTCCTACAGAGCAGGCACACGCTAAGCATGTCACCAATGTTGTCTTACGGAGATTTCTGGCAATCCTGTGAGGTCAGGTCAGGAATAGCATCTGCATTTTACGGGCGAGAAGCCTGAGGCTCCTGAGAAGGGACAACAACCCGCCCAAGGTCACGTAGCAGGTGCAGGTCCTGGAGTACAGGAGGCCACGTGCAGGGGGCAGTGGCGATCCCCACTGGGTCATAGTCACAACATCAACAAAGGACTGAAAACAGGAAAGAAGCTTGGGCCAAGTGAGGTGAACCATTCAGCAGAGATGCCGAGGGCAGAGAGGCAGGGCCATGGCCTTGGCTTGAGAAGTGTCCCATCCATGCAGAGTCACTAAAACCAACCAACCAGCCAAGGAACAGCACTGCGTTCTGGAGAGACATCCCAGCTCTGCAAGCCTTGCCTCTGTTTCCCCATCTTTAAACCTCGGGGGTTTGGCGTGTGAATGGAATGAGATAAAATATGTGTAGGACCCTTAGCACAAGTGAGCTAAGGGTCCTACACAGTGAGCACTTAAATGTCAGTTAACATTGTGATATTATTACTAAGACCGACCTTTCTCCCATATGCCAGCATCAGCCCCCAGAGCGGGGGTTTTCAGGAGGATGTCCCTTTTAGGAAAGAGCTAAGGCTCAGTGAGGGGCCTCGGCTACCTTCTTCTGTAAGTTGAAGGAGCTGGGCTGGTTGCTCTCTCAGCCCCCCGCTACCGCTCCCAAGCTGCGCAGGTAGCAAGGGGTAGGGCAGAGAGAGGGTTCACTCCCCGTGCCCCACTGAGCCCCAGTGCTACCCTACCCAAGAACGATGCCCCCCACAGTGTCCAGAATGTGAGGCTTCCCCGTTCTCAGCCTCCCAGGTGCCCAGGCAGCTTTGAGGTCTGAGACAATGGTTATGATCCCATGAGTGCAAAACCCGCTGGGGATCCCTACTGCTCCGTGAGGAAGGTGGAGACCACCAGGCAGCTAGCTGCCTTCAAGGGAGACAGTTTCTGTCCCATCAGTGCTTGGTGCCCCGAATCCTCCTGCCCCTCATGGAGAGACTTCCAGCATCTCCTCCTTGAAATCCATCCTGTCCTGCTCCTGGCTCTCTGGCTGCTCCAGGCGGCTGTCCTCGTCCTGGCTCACCTTCCCAGGTGTCTTCAGAAATCTGGAATTCAGGCCCCAGGTGCAAATCAGCCCCTGCCCCAGCCGCTTCCAGCCCACCCAACCCCTCTGCTTCCCCTTTTCCCCTTGGCCCCTAAGCTACTCACCTGAACAGGAGTTTCTGCCCGGGTTCCTTCTTAATGATGTTCAGCTTATAGTAGTGACGCAAGGCACGAGACATCTTCTCATAGGTCATGTTCACCCGGTTCTAGAAGGTAAAGCGGTCCCACAGCACCCTCCTCTCCCACCCTGCTCCTTCCAGGCCTCAGTTTCCATACCTGGAAAGGAGCAGTTTGGGGGCACCTGGGTGGCTCAGTCAGTTAAGCATCGACTCCTGATTTTAGCTCAGGTCATGATCTCAGGGCTGGGAGATCGAGCCCCACGTCAGGCTCTGCACTCAGTGGGGAGTCTGCTTGAGCTTCTCTCTCTCTCCCCCTGTCCCTCTGCCCCTCCCCCTGCTCTCTCTCACTCTCTCTCTCTCAAAAAAAAGTATCTGTCTCTGTCTCCTTGCCTCCCATCCTCCACCTCCCCATTTCCTTAAAAAAAAAAAAAAAAAAAGGAGCAGGTTTAACTGGCTTGTTTCTTAAGCCCCTCAGCCCAGAGTTCTGTGGGCATTTATGAGAGCTCTCTTGAGTTTGGAAGGAGAAAGCCAGGGGAAGGTTGGAGGAGAAATAATGAGCACTACCTACTGGGCTGAGAACCACAGGACAAGAGTAAATCACCTGTGGCTTTTATTTATTTTTATTTTTTTTAAAGATCTTATTTATTTATTTGAGAGAGAGTGAGCACAAGCGGAAGGGAGGGGCAGAGGGACAAGCATACTCCACGCTGAGCAGGGAACCTGACATGGGACTCGATCCCAGGACCTCGAGGTCATGACCTGAGCCGAAGGCAGACGCTTAATCGACTGAGCCACCCAGGCGCCCTTCATGCGTTGCTTTTAAATAGCAAATGTCACAAGTAGTAACAAATACATATATATTTCGTTGGAAACACAGTCAGAGAGACAGCATGGTAAGGGGAACACAGTGGTAGGAGGAGCTCACCATGAGCTGCGTGACTTTAGCCAAGTCGTTTTATTTTTTCCTCTCTCTGAGGGGTGGGCAGTAAAGAGTAAGGGCAAAGAGGCTGGGCTTTAGTGTCACCTTAAGCCCCGGCTCCACCATTTGGCAGCTGCGGGAACTCAAATAAGTTTGTTTGCCTCTGCAGCTGTTTCCCCGGCTACCAAATGAGGATAAGAACGTCCCTCTCGCAGGTATGTCGGGAGGACTAAACTAGTTATTCCATGGGAGCACTTTGCACAGTGCTTGGCATGTAGCATATGCTCATTAAACGGAATTGCTGCTCTCTGGGCCTCGGTTTCCCTCCCTGTACTATATGGGGATTGGACCAGGTAAACACACCCAGCCTCGAGTCATTTGTATCCTTCCAGCCACCAGCACCACGGAGAGGCAACAAGAGTGGAGCATCACGGGGCATCTGGGTGGCGCAGTGGGGTTGAGCGCCCAACTCCTGGTTTCCGCCTGGGTCGTGATCTCAGCGTCATGAGATCGAGCCCCACGTGGGGCTCCTTGCTCAGCAGGGAGTATGCCTCTCTTCTTCTCCCTCTGCCCAGCCCCCCGCCAGCAAATCAATCAATCAATCAATCTTTGAAATAGAGGGGAGCCCTGAGCCACACACTCTGTGTTCGAGTCCGTGCTCTGCCATCTACTGGCTGCAGACTCTTGGAGAAACCACTACGGGCTTCTGTTTCCCCTCTGGTGTCTACTTCACCAGGTGTCTACTTCACCAAGCAGCCTGAGGATTAAATGAGTTAATACAGGGAAAGCCCTCAGAGCGGTGCCTGCTGATCAAATGCCATGCCATGTTAGGAAATGCTATTACAGATTACCATGATTGCTAATAGTTGTTTTTTTTTTAAGACTCCTTTTTTTTTTTTTTTAAAAAGACTCCTTTTTTAGTTAAATGAATTTATTTATAGACAAGGACATTTGCTTAATATCACCACTGGAAATCAAGAGATTGACATTGTAGTTAAAACTTTTAATCCTAATTCTTACTAAAATAAATACTTAATTAGTAGAATTTGGAGTAAACCACCTAAAATCCTCTGGCAAACGTCCCTTTAGGTATGAGCATTCCTCACATGGGGAATGCTGACACGAGATGCTCCCGCAGGGCCTGAGACCTGGGTTTCTACCCCAGGTCCCCCCCAGAAACCAGTCTCCTCATCTGGCCTAACCACCCCACAGCATATGCGGTGCAATTCAAGTGAAAATACTTTGAGAGTCTCAAGTGCTAAGCAAAGGTGGGTTTGAGCGCGTAGAAGGCAAGACTCCTGAGTTTCAGGGACAGTCCCCATCCTCAAGAAGTAACCGGAGAGCCCTCAGGATCTCCCAGAATAAAATGATCCCAACACTTCTGGAGCTGCTGGTGAACCCCCACCCCACCCCCCATCAGTTGAGGACCATCCCCTAGTGCTGACGGGTCCACTCTGAACCCCTGCTCTGTCCTCTTCTGGATGTGTGGAGGCCATCCCGCCTGCGGGCTGCGGTTTACCTTATGGTTTCCCCAGAGTCTGGCAAGCCCGTTTGGATCCACAACTCTGAAGATCTTGGCATTCTTGTCTTCCCACCTGATGTAGGGCTCGTACCTGGCGTCCGAGAGCAGCTGATACACGTAATCCCACAGTAGCCGGCAGTCTGCAATTGAACACAAGGGGTCCAGACAGGGGGCTTTCCTGGGTCCGTGAGGACAGACATTAGGAAGGAGCTCTGGGGCTCTCTAGGCTGGGGCCCAGGCATGCAGTGGGATGATCAAGACGACAGATCAACAGGAACAGCCACATGTGGGAGCTCATGGTCTCATTTATTCACCCCAACTTTGGGAAGTGGTTACCTTTATCCACACAAAGAGATGAAGAAATGGGCTCAGAGAGGTATGGACAGGTCCCAGGCACCACGCTCTGAAGTGACACGCAGACTAAGGAGTCTAACCCATCTCGGCAGATGTCAAAGTCAACGCCCTTCACATGGGGGCAGGTGGCAAGGGCAGGCGGTGGGGGTGCTGGAGGGTGGCCAGTGGGCTGAACCTGCCTCCAGATCCCTCTCTGCCCTTTGCCCGGTTCTCTGTTGAATTGGGATTGTTAAATCCATCCTGTCAAGCCCCCTCGTGAGAGGCATGAGAAAATCAAATGTGCCATCATGGATGGCAAGTGACAGAGGGGGCCTGGGAGCAAGAGCTTTAGGTCCCCTCCCTGGGCCACCCAGCAGGGTCATTTCAGGCAGATTACCTAACCTTTTCTGAGCCACAGTTTCCTTATAGATGGTGATATGAGGATTAAGTAACATAATAGACCCAAGAGCCCTTGGCACAGTGCCTGGTACAGAGTAAGTGCTCAAAGAATAGTAAGCATTATCATTAAAAAAGACCCGATACTTGTGTTTTAGTGCTTCCCAGGCATTTCCGACCCAAAAACCAGGCTTCTGCCCCTTCTATGGTATCTTAGAACAAATGTAGGCACTGGCACGGCTAAAAAAAACAAAAACAAAAACAAAAACACCCCTTGGAAAGGCAGGCAGTTTATGAATGTGGAGTGGAAGTGTGTTGGCTGGTAAGAGCTCAGGCTCTGGAGCCGGGAGGCCTGGGTTCACACCCCAGCTCTGCCACTTACTGCTATGTGATTGATCCTGGGGGAGTCACTTAACATCTCTGTGCCTCGTTTTCCTTCTTATAGAATGGGACTAATACTGACCTCCAAAAGCTGGTATGGGATTAAATAAAGTTCTCAGAATCACGCCTGGCACATAGTAAGTACCCAACCATTTAAAAATAAATAAATAAAAATTTAAAGGAGAGGAATACGCCATGCCAATCTCACTGTCTGACTATGACCGGCTTCACTGTCCCTGCCCTGGAGACAGGGCAGGCTTGGCGACCCTGGGCAGCCCTGCCTGCTGCAGCCAGATTGTGGCCGGCACACGGGACAGTCACCCTATCCCCCCCGACAGCCCAGCACAGACTCTCTCATTCCCCAGCTCAAAACAACCCTCCTCCCTGCCACCCGCCACCCTCTGGGACTTGGCCTCAGCACACCTCCCTCTGGGCCAGGGGCACACAGCCTCCTACTCACCAGCGATCCTGCCATCAATGGGGGCCTGCGGTATGGTGGGGAAGGAGCAGGATCCCTCAGCCCTGCAGCCCAGCTCCGCACAGTGAGAAACGTTGAGGGACACCTCCCTGCCAAGGGGCCCCTTGGCCAAGGGACTCAAGGAGCTGGCAAGCCCCAGGTGTGATGGTTGCTGCAGGAGATCCCTTCGGGGGGCCAACTGAGGGGGCCCAGTCCCCTCTGCAAGCAGATAAGCACCACTGTTTCTGTGGACTCAGAGCCTCCCTCAGCCCAGACCACTCAATGGCATGCCTGGGAGCCCCGTGGGGCAGCACTCATAATGCTCTTCCTCCATCCAGTCCCCAGCTGGAAGGTCAGGGAGACACAGAGGGCATGGGTGAGGGCCAAACAGCCCAGGTGCTAACACCAGCTCCCAGACAGTAACTCAATCTCCTAAACCCATTCCTTCATCTGTAAAATTGTTTGCAAAGCCAAGCAGTGACAGAACCAGGACCAGAATCCAGGTGCCTTGTATTTCAGTCCTATGCCCTCTCCATCCACCCAATAAATAATTGTTGAGAACCTTCGTGAGCCAAGCATTGTTCTAAAAATCTTGGGGACATATCACTAACTAAAAAACAGCCCCTGCCCTCGTGGACCTTATATTGTAGTGGTGGAAGAAGTCAGGGGGTTGGAAAGGGAGAGAGATGATTAAAATAAAAAAGGAAATAGGGGCGCCTGGGTGGCTCAGTCGTTGAGCGTCTGCCTTCGGCTCAGGTCATGATCCCAGGGTCCTGGGCTCGAGCCCCACGTCGGGCTCCCTGCTCAGCGGGAAGCCTGCTTCTCCCTCTCCCTCTCCCACTCCCCCTGCTTGTGCTCCTGCTCTCGCTATCTCTCTCTCTGTCAAATAAGTAAATTAAAAAATCTTTAAAAAAAATAAAAAAGGAAATAGAAACAGTACACAATATGAGGGGGGATGGAATAAAGCACTATAAGGCAGAGAGGGAATCCTGGGAAAGACAGGGGTACGTGATGGTAAGAGAAGGTCTCACTGAAGTGTTAACATCTAACAGACATCTGAAGAAGTAGAGGAGTGAGCTATGTGGGTATCTAGAGGAGGGAATGCCAGGCAGAGGGAACAGCACGAGCAGAAACCCTGAGGCAGGAGTGTCTCTGGCTTGTTCAATGAACATGGAGGCCAGTGTGGCTAAAGCAGCATAAGTAAGGAGGAAAGGGGTGGGAGAGTTCAGCAGATGGCAGGAGGTCATCACAAGGACTGTGGCTTTGACTCTGAGTGCAGTGGGAGCCATTGGAAGATTCTGAGCAGAGAAGTGACATGATCTGACTTATGAAGCTCTCTGGCTACTCTATTGCGAATAGATCATAGGAGGTCAAGAGTGAAAACAAGGACACCAATGAGGAGATTCTCTAGAGGTGATGGGGGCTGGGCCATGGGCAGCAGTGGAGGTGTGTGAGGTGGATAGGTTCTGGATAGATTTTGAGGGTAGAGCCAACAGGACTTGTTGACGGTTGGGATTTGAGTGGGAGAGAAAGAAAGCAATCAAAGGTGACATCCAACATTTTGGCCAGAGCAACTGAGAGGATGAAATTGCAGTTTGCTGAGATGAGGATGCCTGGAAGAGGAGCAGGGTTGTGGGGAGGAAGGTGGGGCAGGAATCAGGTGTTTGCTTTAGGAGCTTTTAGGGTTGAGATGCCCATTAGACATCCCAGGGAAGGTGTAGGGTAGGCAGTGTGGGGTGTGAAAGTCTAGAATTCACAGAGGTCTGGGCATATGTAGGGATCATCAGTACTAGATGGTATTTAGCACCCTAGGTCTGAGTGCAGATAGAGAAGAGGCCCCCTGGGCCATGGGGTATCCCAACACTGAAAAGTAAGGGAGAAAAAGAGAAGCCAGGAAACTGAGAAGGAGTGACCGTGGAGTGTTCTGGAAGCCAAGGGAAGAGTTTGAGGGGAGGGGGAATGATCCACTAGGTTGTAGGCCATGAGAGGTGACAGTGAATAAGGACTGACAGTGGATGTGGACATGCCCACGTTCAGGCTTCTAGAGTCCCTGACAAGAACAGTTCCACAGGGAGACCAGGAGGAGAGGAAATTCTTTGCTGGAGAGGAGAGCAGAGAAATGAGGAGATGGAAGGCAGAGGGCTGCCAAGAGAGTCACAAGGGCTGAGGAGGCAGGGCAGAGGGGAGCTGGGAGCTCAGCCCACACAGCTGCCTCTTCTCTTAGGTTGCCTGGAGGAAGCCCTGCCCTCCCAAAGAGGCCAACTTGGGAGAGGGTCCCAGAGCTCTGAGAAGAGCCTCCTCACCTTCCAGGAGGCAGAGGCAGTGCTGAGTGGGCATCTTCTGCCTGAAGGCCCCTCCAGAAAAGGGTCCACACACTAGGGCTTGCCTCTGGGTCTTGATGTACTGAAGCAGCTCATACAGGACGTCACCTAGGGGTGGAGGAAGGGAGCGGGTCGGTTGCCTGCCTCTGGGGTGAGGGCTGGGGTCAATCACAAGCTTCATGCTGATGAGATGAGAGGCGGCAGAGTGGAAATGGGTAGGGGAGACAAGAGCCACAGGGAAGGGGAGGGCCAAGTGACAGCAGGACAGAGCTCAGGGCTCTGCAAACAAGAGCCAAACAGATTCCTTTGCTGCAGGCCTGCTCTTGTGAGGAACCACCAGGCAAACATTTATGGGAAAGGGGACGTCTGCCTTGGTGAGAGGTGAGCATGCTCCTCCAACCAATGCATCCATCTCCCTCCATCTCCCTCCCTGGGCCTACCTGGGTTTCCATCAGAACGTTTTAGAGGGAATCCAGTGAGTCCCCTGACCTGAACCAGGTGCACGAAGCCGGAAGTCATCCTTGGTGAGAATGCAGAGGGCTCGGCCGTTCATCTCAAACCCATGCTCCCCAGTGCGCTGCAGAGAGTACTCCTGCTCAGCCCAGTGCAGCCAGTGCAACACGTCCTCCCTGCTCCAGAGTGCCGGCTGGATGCCTGCAACCACAGGGACAGGGACTGGGAGAGAGCACAGGGCAGGGGCAGGAGCTCTCCCCTCAACAATCACTCGTCCACTTCAGGCCCTCTCTGGAATGTCACCTCCTCCGAGAAGCCCACCCAGAATGCTACATCTGAGCAGGTGCTCTCCTGTCCTGTCTCCCCGTTTTTCACCATGTCCTGTTCTTTTCCTTCCTGGCACCTCACTTTCCTTGTCATTGCACTTCATATAGTTATATGTTTATGTTTATCATTATCTATGCATTATGTATGTGTTCACTTATTTTATTTTTGGTACCCCCTCACCCCAGTCTGTTTCCCAGTTCTTAATTCAACAGATATTTACTGAGGAACTATTATGTGCCTGGCACTGGGCTGGTTGTGCTAGGACACATCAGTGTATGTATTCAGCACCGAGGACAGCGCCTGAACCAGCGGAGGCGTTCCAAAGACCTGTGTTGAGTGATGGTGTCCTGTGAAGAAGACATGCTATTGTTACTGTTTTCCCAATGAGGAAGCTGAGGCTCCCAGATGCTAAGTGACTAGCCCGGGGTCACACAGGTAGCACGAGGTACAGCCAGGCCCAGAATCCAGGTCTGTCTGGCTGCCACACTCTTCCACTCTGTTGTGCCAGCTCAGGTCTGGGTTTGCTCAGGGAACAGCCCAGGGGACAAAGAAGTCTCCTACACCCGTTTCCAGCTTGTGTGTTCTTGTCTCTGGCAATACCCAGACAAGAAGTTGCTTTCTTTTATTCCTCTTCCTCACATGTCTACTCTGCCTGGGCCTATTATGCTCCTAATGCCAATTATTTACCCCCCTCATCTGGGTTGTGTTTAACAGGGCCACTTTATGACTTTTGTGGGCTCTGGTACTCTTGCTTTCCTAGGCCCCTTCCTCCCCTAAAATGTATTTAAAATTTTATTTTATGACTGCATTGGTAGAAAGACAAGTATATTGTTATACATTAAAATGTTTTCTTCTGCCTAAAAGTTCATTTTTCTCTCTTGATTTTTAAAAGAAATCAGAACATTTTTGTGGGCCCCTAAAACTATTGGGGCCCCCAGCACTGGCCCGCCATGATGGTAGCCTGCTGCTTTGCTTTGTATGGTGCTTCTCCTCCCAAGAGTGTTTCAGCCCTATCAGGATCCTGGCCATGTGACAGTGGGAGGAGCTCAGGGCTCATCGGGGCTGGTGTGACAGGTAGCAAAACTGAGGCAGGGGAGATACCTGTCCAAGGCCATACCTTGGCAGTGACAAAGACTAAACCACCCTGTGACTGCCTTGGTCCCAAATCAGCACAAGAGATAAAACTCATTTTCATGTTTACAAAAAAAAAAAAGAAAAAGTGCATCATCCACTTGTTCATCGATTCAACCAATACCGTGATCACGGGCCATGTGCCAGGCACTGTGCCCCTGCTGGGGACACAGACAGAGTTAGGCTGGCAGGAGGGAGGTAACCAATGACTATCTAATGACAATCCTGCTCACCACACAGAGGGAAAGGGCCTTGAGCTACAAAGTCAGAAAGCAGGGCAACACAGCCCAGCTTAGGAGGAAGGAGAGGATCCCCTTAACTTTATTTGGGGACTTAAGAATGAACAATAAAGAAGAAGAAATTTCTGAAACCGACTGAAAAATCATTTAAGGGGGAAGAAAAGAACAGAGGTAACAACTGGGCTTTGTGGTACTACATACCACAAAGCCATGTGATGGAGATCTGACACCATTACTGAGACTGACAAGTATCAGGGGAAAAGATGGAGCCCGGAAGTGTATGTGTGTGTGTGTGTGTAAATTTAATACATGATAGAAGTGGGGTTTTAATTCAGTGGGAAAGGGCTGTGAATTTAAGCTATGCTAAAACCACAACTGGCTCTCCACCTGGGAAAAAAATATATCTGGACCTTCACCTGTCACCATTTACAAAGATCAGTTCCAGATGTGATTAAGGCTTAATGAATAAAACAATAGAAACCTCAAAAGAAGTCGGGGGGGGGGAAGGGCGCCTGGGTGGCTCAGTCAGTTAAGCATCTGCCTCCGGCTCAGGTCATGATCCCAGGATCCTGGGATCAAGCCCCTCGGGCTCCCTGCTCAGCGGGGAGTCTGCTTCTCCCTCTCCCTCTGCTGCCTCCCTTGCTTGTACTCGCTCACACTCTCGCTTTCTCTCTGTCTCTCTCTGTGTCAAATAAATAAATAAAACCTTTAGAAAAATGAAGTGGAAATAGGGGGGTGTCTGGCTGGCTCACTCGGAAGAGCATGCAACTCTTGATCTCCGGGTTGTGAGTTTGAACCCCATGTTTGGGCATAGAGATTATTTAAAAATAAAATCTTAAAAAAAAGTGGAAATAGGAAACCCACATGCATTAAACAAGGGTGGGGGGGAACCTCAAACCTCAATCATGACAGGAAACTTAGAGGCTGTTACATTAGTAGAAGATGCACTTGATTACATTGAGTTTTATATGTGTGGTAAAAGATACCATAAACGAAACTAAAAGAGGGCAGAATAAAGGGAAATATTTGCAACGCAGATGAGAGATAAAGGGCTAATGTCTATCATAGGTGAAGAGCATCTCTAAATTGATTTTTTTTTGAAAAAACATCTTACCAGCAATTCACAGTGGAGCAGGATTTCTCAGCCAAGGCACTACTGACACTTTGCACCTGATCATTCCTAGCTGTCGGGGCTGTCCTGAACTTTGTAGAATATTCAGCAGCATCCCTGGCCCCTGCCCACTAGATGTCAGCAGCAAACACACACACACACACACACACACACACACACACACCCCGAGATGTGACAACCCAAAATGTCTGCAGACGTTGCCACGTGTCCCCAAGGGAGAGGAGCAAAATCGCCTCCAGTTGAGAACCTCTGCAGCAGAACAAATCTACTAATAAACATGTGGCAAGACACGACAGCTCACTAGTCAGGACGGGCACAATCAGAGAAGAATGAGATAGCATTTTAATGATAACACCCACACCTGGCAGGAATGAAGGGAGAAGGATGCCTTGCTGGGGGAAAAAGGAATTTAGAGCCTCGGTGGGAGATCAGTCCAGTGATTTACAGAAGGGACTGAGACACAAAAGCTGAGCAGTGTGGAAGCTGGAAGCCACCCGACAGCGAGATTCAGGAGTATCAGGGGTGGGTTCCTCAACCAGCCAGGGTTTCTGGGGCTTGGGGGACCCACCAGCCATTGCATTTTTGTGGGATTGCCTATTTCATGATATTTGAGGTTGTCAGCCTGAAAATTCAAGACTAGGATTCCTGAGTCACAGGAGTACATGGTCCTGTGTTTGGCCAGAGGGTGGGGATGGATTCCACCACCCTCCAGCTGCCCGGCCTCCAGGGAAACACTAAACTACGTGAAGAGGGGGAAACCGTGAACTTGGCAGACAGTATCAACCACAGATGTGGTCCTGCTACCAGGTCCTGAGACATGGGCAGGGGACTTCCCAAGCTGTCTGTGACAGACTCTGAGGTCACACAGTAGAACCTGAACATGAAGCCTGTCATCACCCCGGAGTGAGATCTTGTTCACTCCTGCCCTCACCTTTCATCCCTTTGTTGCCAGCAGCTCAAGGCCAACAAATACAGAAAAGGGACCTTCCTGTTCCTCGTGTCATCAAAGAAGACTAGGGGCAAAAAAGGCTTTCCAGAAGGATTTGAGGCTCCAGGGAAGGACCAAGTTCCAAGCAGTGGATCAGCCACCTAGCTCTGGGCCAAATCTCCAACCCCAGGGTCTGGGTCCCCAGCTCAGCCCCTTGCTAGCCAAGTCACCTACCAGCCACTCAACCTCTCTTAGCCTCAATTTCCCCCTCTGGGAAATGGGATAACATTTCACTGCCTGGTGGGGCTGCTGTGCTGTTGGAGGGGCAGGATGGTGCAGGGGTTAGGAGCCCAGGCTCCATACTGTGCAATCCAGCATCTCACCCCTACCATGGTGGGAATGCATCCACCAGAAGACATGTATGCGAATGTCCACAGTGGCTCTGTTCATAATAGAAAAGAACTGGAAACATTCTAAATATCCGTCAGTTTGAAAATGGACAATTAAGTTGTGATGTTTCCATGCAATGGAAAACAGAGTACTAGACACTGCTAGTCAGGACACATGGCTTAAAGCTCACTGATACCCTGTTGAAGGAAAGAAGCCAGAAGTAATAATGCAATCAAGAACAGATGCTAATCTAGGGGAAGAACTCAGAACAGCGGTCACCCTTTGGAGGGGAATGGACCGGGAAGAGGGACAAGGGAGCTTCATGGGGCACCGGAAATGGTCTAGTTCCTGATCTCAGTGGTGGCTGCAATCCACACATACACATTGGTACACTTAAGATCTGTACACATGACCGTATGTAAATCATCCCTAAAAGAAAAGGAGAAACAACAAAAAGGATTGATGATGGTGCCAGGCCAGCTGGAAACTGGCAAAACGAACGTGTTTCAGTGTCCTCATCAGAGGATAGTACCAGCGACATGGGGCTGTCATCAGGATTCTACAAGATAATCAATGTAAAGACCGGTGTCTGGCATGTGGTATGCGCTTTCCAAGATAAGTGGAGCTCTTATGTTAGCCGAGGTGATGAGAGTAAAATGCTTGACACGGGCCCAGCACACGCCAGCGATTGCTGGTGAGTGTCATCTAAGGCGTCCACTACCCCCCCTCCCGGGGACATCTTCCTGACCTCGTTACTAGGATGAGCCTGAGTCTCCCCTTACCAGTCTGACCATCCCTCAGGGGCTTTACCTGCAAACCAGCCCATGCTTCTCCCTCTCTCAGCTATGATCCACCGTATTTTCAGTTCCTCATATCAACCATCTTTGTATCTCAAGACTCTAGCCTGATATCACCTTATTCTCGCTGCCCCAACCACATGCTCACTGGGGATTTCCAGCTTGGCTGGTTCCCGGCTTCTGGGACAGATCTGGACAGAGCCCCCAGCTGGGGAAGCTGGAGGGACTGTGGGTCCAAGACACCATTGGAGGGTTCG